CACCAGCCCATGGCAGGGGTCGGGGCTGGGTGGGCTTTGTGTTCCAACCCAAACCATTCTGTGATTTTAAGATTACGTGACTATGATCTCCAAAACTTTGAGTGGTTGCCTCTGCAATTTTCATGATTTCTGCAGATTGCTATTTGTATTCAAAAGCAAAATCATTCCTACTGGCAATACTGTTTCTGTCTTGTAACTCCTGAAAAATATTCCAGGACAGCTGGCCTATGAAAATTATCTTAAGATCTGTGAATTCATAAGTATTAATTCACTCTTTCTAACAGTAATTTATTAATTTCCTTCATGTAGAATTAGGCAGAGACCTTGGAAGGGACCAAAGATGATGCCAGCCTGTGTCTGGCAGCTTGTGCTGTTCTGAACAGTTCTCAGGGGAGAATAAAGCCTTTCTTGCACTTGATGTCATGTCAGGTTTTCCCCTTCCAGCTTTCATTCTTACTTCTGTCCCTCTCCTCTCTGTCCTTAAGGCAATCAAGGGAAATGTCTGCTGAATGTGGACTTCAAGGCAGCACTTTATTGTCACAATCCCAAGTGATACAAGAATTACTCAAGATTCTGTGCCACTGCTGGACCTTCTCATTTTCTTCCTGCTCCAACTGCAGCAGGACATGGTGCTGCTCAGCATCGGTGCTCTGAAGGCAGAACATTCCCCACCTTCCTAAGCATTTAAGCTGAACTGATGCAAGTGAATGTGATGATGACTTTTTCAAAGCGCAGAATATTCACAAAGCCTCTTTCTGTGATAGGTATAAGGAAGCCAAGACTCTTGAATCACAGAATCATAGAATTGTAGGAGTTGGAAGAACCTCTGGAGATGATGGAGTCCATCCTTCTCACTACATTAGGTTCCCTACAGCAGGTTGCCCTGGAAAGTTTGACCCCAGAACATCGCTAGGGAAAACGTTACAGATTTCCCCTATATGAAATGAATTTCAGCTTCTTTTGGCATTCTGTCTGACTGCAGGGCAGCCCTTCCTGGTGCAGGAAGTGTGTGTGTTCTCCTCTCTATTGGTGGAGAGCAGATGAGGACTGCTAAAAACAGCAATTGGAACCTGGGGAACATTAATGCTATTATCTCAGAAATGGCAACAAGTGCTATCTTCAAACTGTCTTTACTTCCATTTCTCCTACATTAAAAATACAAGTTTCCTGAGACTTGAAAATCTCGTGTTTCTGGTGATTAGAAACCACCTCCTAATATCTTTAATGAATGCCTCTAGCTAGCTAGTACTAGCTAACGCAGATGTGACTTTTATCTCGGGATCTCAAAGCACTTCCCAAAGGTTGATCCCCTTGTCCACATTTCTGTGCCACACCATCCTTCAGTTACTGAGGACCTGAAGCATTCGCACTGAGCCATACCAGATAAGTTTCAATGCTGTTTTCTGTGCTCATTTGGGTACTGCAAGCACAGCCATCACTCTGGCCACACAATCCACTGGCAGGTGCTCCTGCTGAAGTTAGTCTGTAGTGGACTTAGAAGAAGCAGTATCTACTTTAAGTACCTGGCTAGCAGAAATATGTCATAAGAGTCTCAGGAATATCTGATCCCTCAAAACACACTGACCTGTCTCTGACACATAGATAAAGCCCCAGAAAAGCAGATCCTACTGTTCCCCAGGAGACTGACTCTGTTACTCAGAGACACTCTGTTACTCAACTCAAAAAATCAATTTTTTGAGGGCAGGTGGCTAAGCACAGCAGCCCCTTCTTCTGACAGTTTGGTAGCCTGCAGCCGAGCCACTAGCTGGGATGGTTGTGCCAACGGAGGCATGAATCACTAAAACAGCTCTCAGAGGCCTGTCTGCAAGAACTTGTCCCAGCCTTGGTAGCTGTCACCTCCCCAAAGCCCCCCGTGCATTGTGACTTACAGTCAGAATGGTTGAGGTCGGATGGACCTCTGTGTCCATCTTGTCCAACCTCAGCTCCAGCAGGGACACCCAGAGCAGGGTGCCCAGTGCCATGTCCAAGAGGCTTTGGAAGTTCTTCAGGAAGGGAGACTTTCAAAATCCCTCTGGGTATGGTTCTGGACAACTCATAACTTGCTCTTGTCATTTGCTCTCTTATTTACCCATCTTCTTTGTTATACTCATGGGAATGAAGCCAAGACTCTCACACGTGTTGCCCTACAGCCCTGCTGTTGAAGCCTAGCAGAAGGGCAGCTCATGCTCCTGCCAGGGGCACAACAGGGTGGGTAGATGGAGGTGAGGTGGCAGGGGGAGTTAATACTTTGTCTTTGCTGCTCCAGATGCCCAATCTTATGTCATAGAGTCATAGAATTACCAAATTGGAAAAGACCTCCAAGATTAACTAGTCCAACCATCCACCTACCACCAATATTGCCTCACCAATATTGCCACACTAACCACCTTCCTTAGTACCACGTATAGATGGTCCTTTTCAACCCGGGCCATTCTGTGATTCTATGATTCTATGAAGTACTGTGTTGCTGCTATGAGAGGAGAAGAAGGACTTCTCAGGCAGATGCAAGAAGAATGAAGCAAGCTCTGCTGATCTGAAACGAAACAGCAGTTGTGGGAAGCATTTCCTACAGCTGTTTTTGGCATTAGGCACCACACATATTTCCCTGCCCTCCACTGACTGACTTTATTAGGCTGTTTTCTGAAGACTTACTTTAGTCCTCTGCCTATGGTTGCTGCATATTAATGAAACAGTGTTTGTCAAGGGTGACAAGTCATACAATTCTTCCGCCTCTCTCTTCTCTCAAGTGTGCAGAGGTTGTTGTTACCTACATCTGTCCCCTTCAAAAATTCAGCAGCAAATCAGGCCTGCACTAGCAAACAGTAAATTGACCACAGAATACTACTAAAGGATAAGAAAAAAGCATTTGGATTTAGCCAGGCTGTGGTTTGGGTACTGAGAGTGTGGGACCACCTCATGCCTCAGCCTTACAAATACTCTCACTGCCATCAAACCTCATCACTCTTGGACAGAAGTTCCTACTTCCGAAGTGCCAAAATCCCATCACTAGGTAACTTGTATTTTCTGTAACAACAAGCAATCAAAGAAACAAAGCTCTACAAATACTAAGGATTCAGTGCTTTTGCATGTCTAAATTCTAAATCTCCTTTAGTTTGCATTCAGCTCTGGACGTGTTTGGTTGTGCTCTTTGGCAGCTGGTGTGTCTAAGCACACTGTGCACTGAGCTGCCCTGCGGAGTTCATAAAAGAGAACAAACCAGGCACTGAAACAGAGTCCTTCTCCAGACAGCAGTGAAACCCACTTTGTCTGTTTTAAGAGAAGGCTGGAATTACAGTGAGAGCATTCACTGGACCTCGGTCTGAAAGGCTGCTGAAAGACTACAGTTCTGTGCTTCTGTGATGCTGCGGTTCTGAGCACCTCCTGCTGCTTGGCCCGTGCCTAGTGTTGTTCTGTTGGTAGCCACTGTTGACCACTGTGACAGAAAGAATACCAGGGTAGACTGTGTTCATCGTGACTGTCCGTACAATGCTCTCCATAAGGCCTGGCTGCTGAGACATGGGCTGCAAGAACTGTGGTTGGCAAAAGTGCTCTTGGTCTAGAACCAATTCAGTTCAGGACATTTTTCTTCCTCATACCATGCTAAATCTATAGGGAAGAAAAAGGTTTATTGCTCTCTTTGTTTCACTTAGATGAATAACTCATCATCCCCTGAGCTGGCCATCGATTGAACAATAAGCTCATACATACAATAGAAAAGATAAAATAATCCAGGAGATGATTAGGTGTGAGGAAAACACTCGTGTAGTGATGACAACAATTCACTGAAGGGAATGCACTCTAAATTCATTAAAACTTTCTTAAGTTGGCCTTATGGCACAGCCTTTTCAAATCAGACTCCAGGCCTGGACATACGCGTGGCATCAAAACTGAAGAAAGTCCTGCTGAAAAACCACTCACCATTCTCAGTAAGAGAAACAAATCATGTACCTAAAATCCATCCTTTGTTCTGGAAGTGACTGATAAGAAGTTTTAAAACACCCCAAGAAGCTAAGGGCTACTGAGTGGTATCAGAAGGCACAAAGAGGAGCTGGTGAGCAACTCTCTCACTCCAGGAGAATTATTTGATATCAAAATGATGTAGAGAGAACACTCAAAGGATGGCAGAAAGCAAACTTAAATTTCAACTTCTAACTTCCTAATGTGTTTTTAAAAAGACAGATGGACGTAAATGTTTCTAGAAAGAATGTAGTGATGAATACACTAAAGATGGGCCCTTTCCTTAATATCTAAATAGGAATGTTGCTCATTTTTCCAAGAAAGTAAAATACAGTGGGAGCAGTGCTACTAAATTAAAGTAGAACTGAACAGGCAGTTGCTGCAATGCATCTTACAACAACCAGATACATCTAAAGAGGGACATGTCCTGTGGACATGGCCAGTGGGCAAGGTGGTCATGGGTGGATGGTTGGACTAGATGATCTTAGAGGTCTCTTCCAACCTTGATGATCCTATGAGTCTAAGAGCTCAAGCGTGCTGAGAAAGTGGCCAATTTTTAGGCAGTAAATTGCTACACAGAGTAGCTATCTTGTGCTGATGTTTCATTGACAGTTTTTTACAGTTAAATAGATTTTGAACCAAAATTATCAGAGCAAAATTTTCTATGAGAACAAAACGAAATGAACACTTTAACTCCCGTGCAAAGAGTTTGCGCAGGTTGTGGCACTGGGCTGCTCATACTGCACTGAGGTTGTTCAGATGTTCTTTAAGTTCTTTACTATGAGAGTGGTGAGGTGCTGGAACAGCTGCCCGGAGAGGTTGTGGATGCCCCATCCCTGGAGGTGTTCAAGGCCAGGTTGGATGGGGCCCTGTGCAGCCTGGTCTAGTATTAAGTGGGGAGGTTGGTAGCCCTGCATGTGGCAGGGTGGTTGCAGCTTGATGATCCTTGATGTCCCTTCCAACCCAAGCCATTCTATGATTCTGATTCTGATTCTATGAGACGCTGACATAGAATCCTCAGCCATTTACACTGCTGTAGTTCACAAATTAATTTTATTTAAATAACCAAGAATGGATACATGCTTTGTTGAAAACCTTGGAAGACAACAAGAGACTCACTGCAGTAAGTCATACTATTAAACACAAAAAGAGTTAGTACAAGGTACCGTTCATAAACATGAAACACATTACCTTCAGGAGCTTCATGTTTTAAAGACTAAGAGCTCATTACTTATACTAAACAGTTCAAACACACCCTCATCACTAACCCTTAGTATTGCACTACTGCTTCTCTGAGAACATCCAAAGCACAAGGGGTAGACAACCAAAGGAGTTTCTGTGAATGACGGCAGCACAGGGATCTGCACTGGGATCAGCAAAGCAGTCAGTAGCTCATGGCCATCTGTGAGCTCATCTTAGTCCTTCAGGAGTATTTGCACGCTTTTCTCTCTGAAATGCAGACTTGGCAGAGGCGGTGACATCAGGGAACCTTATGGAAGGCATCCATGAGATTGCCCTTGAGAATACAATTGATGTGGATGGACCTGGTTGTGCCAATCCACGTTAGGTTGCGCATCCAACCAACACACCACACTGCTGCAGATGGTGCATCTGCAGTACCCACACACAGCAGGCATCAGCACAGCCAGAAACAGTTCAGAAAAGGTCAGAGTGGTTGTGGGCTTGCTGGGAGAAGAAAGCAGCAGCTCAGGCCGTACCCAACATACACCCATTTCTTGCCAGTAATGCTGTACATATTAGGACTGCAGCTGTGCTACAATCCTATATAAAGAGTTAGCACAATATTATGACTTCAAGACTTCCTTTCAAATAAAGTTCCTCTTAGCTGGAAATCATATCATAACCAACCTGTTCTTGTAAAACCAACACGTGTGTTATAGCAGCACTTGGGATCCACTTGTCTAGCAAGAGCAGCCAATTCAAGCAGGTGCATTATCTCCTTGAAATCTGCTGCAGCACATCAACAGTTCAGTGCGAAGGCTGTAACACTGATTCTTCTTTTATTCCTCATTCTCAGCACAGAGAATGCTAGCAGGCAAGAACAAAAGACATCGATGAACTGGAAAATGGAAGGCTTACCTAGCAATAACAGGCGTTAAAAGGACAACCAAATGAGGTGACAGACAAGAGACTTCAATTACAACAACACAGACAATGCACAGAACAAGTGCACTCATAGCATCTGTGAAAGATATGCACTGTCACCATGACCATCACACCCCCACCCACCTAACCCTGTGCCCAAAATTCAAGACAGAGTTCATATTTATGTTAACAGAAGGTAAAGGACCTGAGCAGAGCAGGATGACAACGCTAGATTCCCCAAACCATACAGTAACAAGCAGGGACACTTTTCTAAACAAATACTCCTCTTTCCTTTGTCCAAACTACTTCGGCTTCTTATCTTTAATTACAATTCAGTCATGGGACATGAGGGGGGAGCAACCTTTCTTTGTGTGCACATCCCTGTCACGTTGCCTATGGGGAGCTTAGTTCTGCTAAGGCACGCAGGTGCCACTCCAGTACAATAAGAATGTCTTCTCAGGTGGGTTTTGGAAAACAGCACAGACAGTTTTGCATCTGATACCACAAACACATTGAAACCCGTCCCAACTATACAAACACAAAAAAGATTTTCTAGAGATTGTTACAAAACGGAGCCAACTTCTCTATCTTCAGTCTAAACTCCCAGAAGGATATGTTAGTCCCAGAAGGAAACAACTGACAACAGAAATGAGCCCAACATTTAGCTTATGTCTCATTACAGTTCGTATAAAAAATGTTAAGACATTATTTTATGAATACATTGAAAAATCAAAATCCCTAAAATCTGCAGTACCCCCTTACACTGTGACTGCAGATCCTTTTTCCATCAGCGCCTAGAGAATAACCCCACACTTCACTGCTGAGATGACTCAAGACATCTTGGGCTGAACACAGCAACCCCTATTTTTCCACAGCAAAGACCAGTGGCCAGCCACCACCTGGTACATGCTTAACCAGATTCAACAAACAAACAAACAAACAACCCCTTCAATAGGGGAGAAAGCTCTCACATGCCTCATTGAGATGGCCAAGCCCAGTGGAGCAGCATGTCACAACACAGCACAGCCATCTCTTTTTGATGTGTGCAGGGCTGTTTCCCACCTCTATACAGAATAGTGCTCTTTTCCAGTGCTGGCTTCGTGTGCATTGAGTGCATTTCACTTGTACTCACAATGGGGATTTCTTTTTTCGTACTTCTTGGTTCTTGTGGCTTTTTTTTTCTTTTTTTCCTTAAAGAAATAATGAAAGTCTACAGCATGGTTTTTCGGGTATCTGACCGATGCCTGTTATTCAACAAGCAGTCTGTAAACTGGTCTGTCCTCTGAGGAGCTGTCAGGCTCCCAGGACAGTTGGACTTGAAGAGCAGAGCAGCACCTTGTGTTCAGCACAGTGAAGGCAGAGGAAAGCCCTCTTGCAGCAGCACGAAGCTCCTGCACGTGGCGGCTGGAAGGCATCAGCATGAAGAGTCAATAAGTCTTTGGCGAAGCTTTTTATCTTCTTTCTGGCCCAAGTGGTCACTTGCATCACGGTCTGGCAAAACTAAGCAGAAAGTTAACTTTTAGAAGTGACAAGCCATCAAATCACTCAACATTCTTGTTTGCAGAACTGCAGCAATGCAAAGATGAGGCAAAAAGAACAGAGGCAAGCTCTAATCAGTGTTGCCCAGTGCCAGGACAAGAGGCAATGGGCACAAACTACAACACAGGATGTTTGTTCACTCTGAACAGGAAAATTTCTCTGCTGTGCAGGTGATGGAGCAATGGCACAGGCTGCCCAGAGCCTGTGGTCTCTCCCCCTTGGAGATCTCCAAAAGCCACCTGGACACGGCTCTGGGGACCCTGCTCTGGGTGCCCCTGCTGGAGCAGGGGTTGGGCCCATGGATCCTCTTCTAACATCAGCCATTCTGTGATTCTATGATGCCCCATCCTCTTATCCCAGACCCTGGCCAGCATCTCCTCCTGTGCATTTCAAAGTCAACATCTACCACAACTTTGTTAACATTAATCAATTAAATTAAAGCTAATTAAAACAAGACATCACTAGCGACAGATGAAAAGATGGGGAGAAATGGGAGAATCTTTGCTGGTGGACAGTGAAATCCATCAGTCAGAACAAAAGGGCTCTGCCAACCAGATTGGGTCACCACGTGGCAGCCTCTCTCTGTAACATGTTTTAACATATCTTCAAGCATCAGTTTGTTCCACTCTAAACACAAGGAAACTTGAAGCCTCTGAAGTGTTTTTGTGAAATGAAAATAGTTTCAAAAGTTCTGCTTTTCAGTAAAAGTGAGTCAGATTTTCCTTAGCTTCTTCAGGTCATTAAGCAGACACCTCAACCTTGGGCTCCTAAACCCTGGTAGCAAAACGACCCACCTGTATCTTCAAGAAGGGTCACATTTAAAAGGAAAACTACGTTCTACCAGAAGTACTCCAACTTCCTCCTCTGGAACTAAGTGTTCCTTGTACAGGTTGAAATAATCTTCCCTGTTCCTTCTTATTTCCCCTGTTGTATAAATCCACTTCTCCAAACCTCAGCCCAAGAAGTGCTTGACCAAAGCACAGAGGAACAGTTACCCTGTGGATGCTGCTGCTTCTTTTTTTGTATTAAATGCAGGGGCAAGGTAAACTGAAAAGAAAGTAGATTTCATGTTTTTGTGCTGCTGAATGTTTCAAAGCATCTTCACTTCTACAAGTGAAGGACTTTGTGAGGAGGCAGACCATGGGTCTGAACTGTTTCACTGGGAGGTAGGTGCTGGTGTCCTGCTGCTTCTGCAAGGACATCTGTGACAGTGGCCAAGTTTACATTAAATGGGAAGAAGGATTTGCCACCCTTTTTGCCTCTCTCTGGATATCTGGCTTCTCTTCAATAACTTGGCACTGGATTAGAATCACATTTAAAATACACTGAATTAAAAAACAAACAAACAAAAAAACCCTTTTATTTTAGCACAGAATATAACCCCACATCTTCTATAACAATTGCTCAGAGCCAGTCATGACTGGAAGATGATGGGACTATTCAGAGCACAAGTGCACCAATCCAGATCCTGACTCACCATTTTGGCAAAAACCACTTTGCAGATGATCTGCCTTTCTCTCTGCTTAATGAACAAAACACACTCGCTGGCCTCACTTCCTTCTTTTGTCAGTTTCTATTCCTCTGCCAGCAGCTTTTCTGAATACTTTTTTACATTAATCTAAATCTTTTGCTATACTGCACTCATCACATGTAAATGAAGTCGTAGCAGTTATACTGCAGACGACACAGAAAAGTGTAAGCAGGTCCATTTTCTTGTAGAACACATGAAAGTGTTTTTGATAGAATACACACCTAGATGTGACTGGCTTTGTTTGGTTTGGGCTTTTTTCCTTGTTCTCTTTTAAAGAAAGCTTAGGCCAGCTTACCTTGTAGCTCTGTTGCATCTTTTTCCAACTCTTCCACAGCTGTTTCCTCCGGCTTCCCCGGCACAGCCGTCCTTGGCTTCCCATCAACAGTATCTGTCTTAATTGTGCCAAGGTTTATCAAAAGTTGCATGACATCAAACTTCTCGGAAACCGCAATGTTCTCCAGCACTTTGAGGCATTTATATGATTTCAGTTCGCTCACGTTTTCCTCAAGAAAGAGGATGTAAAGGCTTAAGTCATCTAAGCTCTTGGACTTCAGCTTCAGAACGTCGAAAGTCGGCAGGATTTCGTACACTTTGAGAATGCCCGAATTCCAGCGGAAGGGAACAAACATTGCGTACACCACCAGCGGCATCACGAGCAGATAGACGATCAGGTTAATGTAGCTGAGCACCTTGAAGACACCAACAGCAATCAGCTTGCACTGAACCACTTCTGGAACAGTTGTGTCGTTCTTTAAGATCCCTGTTTTGATGGTGCAGAGAAACTCGTCGCTCAAAGAGGAGAGGCTGATGTAGTAGCCCAGGTAGAGGCAGGCAATGAAAATAATCACGAGAGTGAGCAAACGGCAGAAAATGTATTTGATGATTAAGCATTTGGAATTCTTCTTTGTCTTCAAGTACTGCTCCACAATCGGGTATTTAAAGTGGCTTTCGGAGATTTCCCACAAGCTGCAAGAGAGAGAAGAAAAAACCTGAGTCACACAGACTGGATGACGCACCTTTCTTAAATTTCTGATCAGCCTTATCCTTGAAAGCAGACACGAGGTTGGGTTTTCTCCTCTTGGGGTGAGTCAGCAGTAGATCTATTACAGCCAGTGAAAAGCTACCAGCGGTTACATGAAGAATAATGACAATCTTACACAGAAAAGCCACTTAAGAGCTCAGACGTTGGAAAATAGAAAAAGGGTATTTCCCTTACAGCAAAAAAAACTTTCTTGTTCCTTCCAATATGAAACAGGCATAGTGTGTACATCCACAAGGCAAAACACACTCTCAGGAACTCACTCAGTTTACAGTGCACTCCTTTGCCTTTCCCTTGCCAAGGCAGCGTGCCGCTTGGCTCAGAAGGTTTGCTTTTTTGCTTATGTTGTTTGATTTTTTTTCTTCCTTTGGTGGGGGCTGTGGTGTAGGTTTTGTTTATTGGTTTTGCTATTGTGTTTGTTTCTTAATTTGCTTTACACAGAAACTTTGCAGATCTAAAAGGGCAGGAGACAAGGAACAGGCTCTGCCTCGCATTGACAAGTGAGGACTGCAGCTCCTCCTGTTTTCTTATCTCAGTGGGTAAAACTAATTAACGCCTGTTACAATGAAAAAAAGAAAAACAGGACATCTCAGATAATTAATAATTGGAAATTATTGGAAATCAAACGTTTTCTTTGTTCAAAAAAAAAAAAAAATTGCAAGTTACAGCTCCAAGTTCTCACTGTAATGATTTCCAATGTCTTTTTATTTGATCAATTTAAAAAGGTGTTGAGCCACTACTGAATCTTTCACAACAAATATCTTTGTAAGGGCAGGTGCCACATCTGGTCAGAGCTTAAGGAGAACAGCAAAGAAAGCCAAGCTGCAGCGTCCTACCTCTGTGTTAAGTTTTCATTAGCAGCTGGAATGAAGTCAGCGGGGTCTCTGGGCTCTCCGCTACGGACACTATTTGCAGCTTTGATTGCTCTGTTATAGGCTTTGTCAAGTTCTTCCATGATAAATTTCAGGTCTGAAGAGAGGTGAGGTGCTGCCGTGAAGCGCCAGAACAGACATGGTAGGTACAGCAGGATGGCCACGAGCAGAAGGATGTATGGGAAGAACTGAAGGGAGAAGAAAAGTTCAGATTAGGCCCCACCTGAGTATAAAATAAGCCAGCCATCATCCCCCATAAGCATTCCACATAAGCCCATTACATTCCCAAGAACCTTCTTTAAATGTTTCTACTAAACTGACTTTTCGTTACCAGGGACACACAGGGCAGTCAATTCCCTCTTCATTCAGCTCCAGTAACCTCAGTGCTGCTTAGAGCTTTTAAAGAAAACAACACCACACACCACCATGAAAAAGCAAAATAAAGTTACCATGATCCTGACAATAGTCCCCATTGCTTAGGGAAAAGACTGAAGAAAGATAAAGCACAACAGCCTCAATGTTTCCTTCTTCTATTCATCACCAAGTAGGAGCTTTTCCACCATAAAATGAAATCTCCAACTCCCTCCAGCTTCTGGAGAGAACCTATTATCTATCTGCTGTGACTTCCTATTCAAGGTGTATATTCATACGTAACAGTACACTTACAGAGCCATGATGTACAGTCTAGTTGGACAAGCCATTACTATAGGATTCTGAGCAATTTGACTGCCCTTCAATTCATTAAACTGTTGATAGTTTCACTGAACTCAAATCGAGCTTTAGTTCCTATGGAATTTTAAATTAGTTGTGATGAAGAAATTTGGATTTGGCTTAAGCTATCTTCAGTGCTATAGCTGCACACATGCACGTGCAGTGGAAAAGCTAAAGGGGAATTTTAGAGACAAGTTGGGCTGGAATCATTAGTCATTAAGTGGGACAGTTCTGCTTACATCAGTGGGTCAACAGATATTTACAAGATGAGAATCTGGACCTAATATTAGCTTGTGTTTGCATTAAGCAGGAGAGATTAACATTTCGTATGCACAAAATAATTAATCTGATGTTGCTGAGCATCTATCCAGGAATGCTGCTTCTAATATCATTCACCAATGAATCATCATCATTAATGCTAGGGTTGTATATGATACGTTAGCAGGGAAATAAAAACTGACTACTTAAAGGAGCTTCATTCAGCATTTGGAGACCATAAAGTGAACTAGATTTTGGGATGTGCACGCTGTCTGCATAGCAGTCACACTGGAAATATGTGACACTATGAAATACGTGACTGTAAGATACAGCCATGAAAAGTATTAAATAGCCACAGAAAGCAAAGAATGAATGAAATTATGAATGAAGGTGCAGCCCCAAAGTTGCATTGTCCCAGTCCCTGGGTCTTTCTTTACCTGGACAAAGGCTCTGGTGGCACATTCTGCACTTACGTAGCAAGTAACAGTTGTGATGCTCTGCCCCAGACCTCCTCCAAGCCCACCCACCTCCTCGCCCTCCTACAACCTTCTCTTCTTGCATTTTCTCCTTCCCTGACTGCTTTACCACTGTTTATTCATCTACAGTCATCATACTACTGGGATGCATGCAAAGGCATGTGACTAAATTCCCCTCACAAGGTTCTTAAAACTCCCAAAGCTGCAGCAGACGGAAGCATGAAGAAACTCCATGAAACTCTTTTCCAAATGGTCACAAAACCAGAGCAGGAGCACAACCATTAGCCCAGCTCTTTTGGTTTGGAAAGAAAGCCTGTGTTTGTCAGTCCTTCCACAGCACTTGATGCTTCACTCCATCCTTCATTGATTCTGGCTCCTTTTAAAAAGGAAGGACATTTGTTCCATTTGTTAACAGCAGGCTTACATAACTAGCCAATTGTTCTGAATCATTACATTTTGGGGTCCTGAACCAACAGGCAGAAGTGAAAATGCAAAGTCATTCAGCACGAGTCCTAGGTTTTAGAACAACAGACTTGGATTACCCAGCTCATCTGACCGCGTTCAGAGTCACGCACAAAGACTTCTCATTTTACGAAATGGACACTGTGGCATTCACACATGGATGTGCATGTGCTATATGCCCCTTTTTATATATTCACTTCAAAGGCAATGAAAAAAGGGGAACTGCTGCTCCAGTCCTGTAGTAATCAGACAAAACAGGAAGTAGCACTGACCTTGAGAGCTCTGCAGACAGAGAAAGTTACTTCCCTAAAAGTAAAACTCAGTTTTACTTTGCTGTTTATCAAGTTCCTTTCCAAAGGCAAGTTCACAATGTTGGATTTAAAGCAGTAAATGACATGGCACAACACAGAAAGTGGAACATACACATTAGAACAGGTAAAATATCCTATGGTGTGACATGCTCTTTTCTGAACTTCATTAGTGAACTGCAGTAAGGGCTATAATACCTGGAGGCCCTTAGCTTCCATCTCCACCCAGTGCAAGAGGAAAACAAAAAGAAAGGCAAAGGCCCAACAAGTTTGGCACTCAAAACCAGAGTAAAGGAGCTTCAGCTACATTGCTCCAAGTTTGGGAGGTGCTCAGCATAGGAAATGTTTGATTATTTGCCAGGATTCGGACTTGATCATCCTTATGGGTCCTTTCCAACTCAGGATGTTCTGTGTTTCTATGATTATTATACTGTGTGATTCCGCACAAGAGTAATGCATGCACCAGAGACTCACAACCAGATCTTCCTACATGTTTTCTGCCAAGGACATTTGAGCTCCAATGGAAGTACCTTCCCTTGTTGGTCACCTAGTCTGATAGTAGCCTTTGTCAAACCATGTGCTCCCAAGGAAGCCCAGCACTACAAAGCCAAGCACTCAATTCCCTCATCCTGTACTGCTGCAGCTCATTTAACTCCACTAATCTTGAGCACTGTGTGCTTTACAGGCTGCACCCTAACTCCTCCTCAAAGCCAAGAGCACCTCAAACTTGAGCAGGATGCACAGAAGAGTCAGGATGTAGAGCCATGATCTCCCATTTCAGCACAGAACGTGGTTCATGTGGTTTTCAGTCTTTACTTGCAAGAGCAGCCATGAGGGTTAGCTCTAAACAAATCAGCTATGCACACCAAAATGCTTACACTCATAGACGTGTGCTGTTTTCTTACATCCCCAGTGAGAACTAGGTTGAGCAGTTTTAAATCAATATTGTGAATGGAGAAGACAAATAACCCTCATGTATGGAGTAGGAACTCTAGAAATCTATTCAGAAAATGCAAAGTCATGACTATTTATTCAAGTGTCTGCAACTGATTCTCCCATGAAATTTACCTGCACAAATTGAGTGCATGTTTTCCAAAATGTTTTACTGGGAGTTGTGAGCACTTTGGTTCAGATGAATTTTCAGAATGGCATAAACTATCCTCACTACATTCCAGTTCCCAGTGCACATACACAGTCTACAGTGATAGATCTAGTGCTGCAAATATCACAATGAATTCCAAATACTCTCTTGACATGGTTTTTGCCATCTTTTATTGAAGGGTCCTCCACAAAACATATCCACCTGAACAACTGGAAGCTACTGCTTAGCAACATGCTATGGCCACAGCTCCAAATAACAGCAATTAGCCAAGTACAGTCCAGATCAGCTGCCCAACGTCTAGCACACACTGTCACAGCTGTCTACAGGAGTCTTCCCAGGCTTTAAAGAAGCTGGAAAGTAGAAGATCCCAGGCTATTTCTAAGGTCTCTGTTCTCTGCCCTACTAAACACCCTCCTGAGTTTCTTGAGGTTGACTTGCCTTCTTGAAGACATATGGTTCAGTCCCTTTGAACTAATCACTGAGAACTCAGCTAATTCAGCAATCAAAATGCATACATGAGACACAAGAAGTGTCTGAGTAATGATTTTGTATATACAGATAAGATGATTGAACCAAAGGACTGTCTTTTAAAAATGCATCACCTTCACACTCTCCTGAAAATAAGGGAAAAATCAGACAAAAACCTAAAAGAGCCCGTTACATACACCCAGAGAAGTGGATGCTCCATTGTTGGAGACATTCAGGATCACACTGGTCAGGGCTCCAAGCACCTGGTCTAGCTGTAGGTGTCTCTGTTCATGGCAGATGAGTTGGACTAGACAGCCTTAAAGGGTCCCTTCCAAGTCAAACGATTCTATGGTTCTATGATATAGCATCCTCAGCTTCAACCATACTAAGATAGTATAAGTACAGCTGTGACAGGCAAGTTGAAAGGGCTTCTTAATGACTTCTTCATATGCTCAAAATACTGTCTTGAGATTCAAAGAAAAAACAGCTGCCAAAAGTGCAGTGATCTATTTGATAGGATTTGAGAATTGGATAAAGGCAGTGAGCGGAAGGTGAGAACCACCTCTGTGAAAACAGAGGAAAAAACATTTTCTCATTTTGCAGCATCTTCAGTCCTTATTTATTTTGGGCAAACACTACTGAAATGGTTGCAAGCATTCAGACTTGTACTATGGTTAATAGTGGCAAAACACTAAGTCAATCACAGAACCATAGGATGGTTTGGGTTGGAAGGGAACTTAAAGCCCACCCAGCCCCAACCCCTGCCATGCGCTGGTTGTCCCCACCAGCTCAGGCTACCCAGGGCCCATCCAGCCTGGCCTTGAGCACCTCCAGGGATGGGGCACCACAGCTCTCTGGGCAGCTGTGCCAGGGCCTCATCACCTCTGATCACCTCCTCACAGTAATAACACTCTCTGAACAATAACACAAAGCTGTTAAACTGCCCGGGTCTGAAAGACAGCCTTGAGAAAATTGACAGGCATACGGTAATACTAAACAAAGAAGGAAGCACTGAAGCACTTCTACTGATTTAGGATCAAAATATTTTTCATTAAACAATAAGATAACAATGAAGTACCAGCTTCTTCAGCCTCAAATTCCTACATGCCAACAGGAAGAGTTCAAGTAAACGAAGCATGCCTCAAACTGGCTGACAGCAACAAATTCTTCCAGAACCAAAGCTATTAAGCTCCCTCTGGATACAACCCTGTTCCTATTGCATGAGATGTTTCCCCAGCTTTCAGAGCAGAAGCATCAGCTGTAAATGACTCATCATTCTAAAGGTTGCCACGTGGTTGAGAGACTGTCCTGCCTCCAGAACCGAAAGTGAATTTCAAACCATGCACGACCTTTTTTATTCCTCCTGTTATTTGCTCTCTGCTATAATACAGCTTAAAAGGTGCTTTTCCAGATTCAAATAGTGAGGCTAATGAGACTAAACTAGCTATAACACCACACAAAGAATGGTTCAGAAATGTATCTGTATCCTATTTTCCTTGCACTCTAATTGCTCTGGGTGGGGCTTTATAGGTGAAAGATGAGGAATCCTCAGTCAGCTGGGAAGCTGTTACCAACCTGGTAACAACTGTGATGGTAATCCTATCAACAACTCACTAAAGGACCTCAGGAGGGTTTGTATATCTACAGACAAGCAATTCAGAAAGCAACCCACGGGTCCACAGTACATCTCAGTTCTATTACTTTCCCCACACCTTGCTCAGTTGCTATGTATGGTGCCTACCAATAGCCACTAAGATAACGCTCATTGGTCTCCCGTTTGTACCTGTATAAACCTCTCTGTGTACGGTGCATTAGAAGGCTTCACAGAACAGTCTTCTCCTTGACTAGACTGGCCGCTCACAGAGGCCAAAAGCTTGTTTCCATTCCAGTTCAAAACAAAGTTACGTTTTATCAAAACTGACCATCATCTTTAGAGATGAGAAGCAAACTGCACAAAGGGAGCAAATATGAGGGCTGCCTCTTACTTTATTATGTTGGCCCATGACCACAGAGACAAGTCTTGGTGGGATGGCAGTAGAGGCTGAACCTTTCCATCAGTATCCCATTACTGTGTGACAGATGGCAGCAGAGGGGCAGTCTGACAAAATAGTGCCTGACATGGAAGTGTGGATGAAGCAAAGGTGCGTCACTGAATTCCTCCATGCAGAAAGAATTGTTCCCACTGACATTTACTGATGCTTGCTGAAACTTTTTGGAGACAAAACAGTGGATGCAAGCACAGTGAGGCAGTTGGTGGTGAGTTTCAGCAGTGGCAACAGCAGGTCACCTCTTAAGGTGATAATGCCCTCAATAATATGCTTTAGCTTTTGCAAACTCTGAAGTTGTCAGGCAACTGGACTTAATGGTCTCTGTAGGTCCTTCCAACGAACCATTCCCTTCCATCCCATCCCATCCCACTGGCTGCCCTCCAAGCAGCATGTGCAGTTTTGACAGCTGCTCCACTGGCAGGGCTGGGGGCCAAGCATGAGCGCAGAGGTTAGGCCCAGGCACCCTGGCCCAGATACAAGCTGTGACTCAGCTGTTTGGAGGCGCTGCTCACTGCCAGCCTGCAGGGTTTCAAAAGGAAACATCACATACCACCTGCCATAGAGGAACCGTGGCACTAAGAGCCTTGCAGAGATTCCTGAGACAGCGCCAGTCAGCAGATTAACATGGGCTGTGTCATGTCAGTATGACACAAAGGCTTATTTGCCATAGCTGGCAAACTAAGAGATTTGCAGCTGCAATTGCAAGCTATCAGCTGTAGCATAAAGTTCAATTAAAAGAGACAGGTAACAAGAAGTCATTTCCTTGATAGAGGGAGGGAGCAAGGCGTCCAGCTCTGCAGGCCGAGGCCCCTCCTGCCCAAGCAGACTGATGTCCCAGCAGCTTCAGTCTCCGCAGGCCTGGCTGAAGTGAGCTAGGGCACTCATTGAGCAATGATGAGTTCAGGTTGGAAGCCAACAACTCTGGCTTTAATACTCATGAAATGAAGGACCTCTAGGTCCAGGTTATGAGTGGAGCTCACTGAGGAAGGCAGTAGAAAACCCTTATGGCCAGGGCTCTGGGGCAAGAAATGAATCAGAGGTAGCCCTGAACTGTCTGTCCAAGGAGATCCAACCAGCTGACCGGATAATAAAAGCTGAGGCATTGGTTGTGCCAGCAGAGCCCAGAAAAACAGGCACTGTAGGTCCCAGAGCCAAGCTGCCTCTAACACCAGGTCCTCATCCATGGCCACTGGGGTGATTTGCTGGGACACAAAACTGTGGCTTGAATGTGGTAATAAGGTAATAAAACAGCAGCACACAACAAAATCCACACATCCACAGAGCTCCTGCTGTATTTCTGACTTCAACATCAGCACTGCCCAAGCATTTAAGTCAGAATCTGCAACTCATGTCAAAACTCAGCCAACCCCTTTGAGGCATCTCAGGTATCTCAGAACCCACTGCACTTTGCAGCCACAGAATAGGCCCCTCGCTGGGAACTCCTAATGATGCTGCTTTGCTTGCAGCAGTGAAAGGCTTAATTGGAACAACCTGAGAAGCTCAGAAAAGCTTCTCAGAAAAGCACACTGAAACATGTTGGTGCCTATTATATATTTCACCTCTCCCAAAATCCGTATCTGCCCTGCATCCAACTTTCTCCAACTGGCCAAGTATAATACAATAAAAATATCAAATATTTTTACTATCTTGCTTTCAGAAATTAAGGTTTTGATACAGCATTAAGTCAGCTGCTGTGTCTTGTATCCTGAAGTTAAAGCAGTTCTTTAAAGACATGTTGGGCACTCAGCTCCAGGGCAACACATCAACATTACTCTTTTGTCAGCTAACTGGTGACATTTGTTATCCTATAAAAACAGATCCTTTACTTATAAGCAGAAAATGTCTCTTCCAGCTCTACCCCTTTGGAAGTAAGAAAAAGAAAACATTCTGTCTAAAAACAGAAAGTCAAGTCAAAGCCAGGGATAACACCAGAGAAGAATCATAGAATCACAGCATCCACAGAATGGTTTGGGCTGGAAGGGACATTATAGATCATCCAGCTCTGAACCCTGCCGGGACAGGGACACCTTCTAATAGATCACTTTGCCCAGAGTCCTATCCAATCTGGCCTTGAGCATCTCCAGGGATGGGGCATCCACAACTTCTTTGGGCAAAAGAGGAGGAATGAGAAAGGGAATGTAAAGGCAGGCTTCTACATGTGGCCACTGTTTCCATGAGGAGACCTGTACGTACTTTATGGAGCCAGAGGGGAATGTTCTCCAGGTTGTTGTAGGCTGGCTGCTTTTGCTGCACTGCTGCCCAGCAATAGGAGTCCACGTAGGCAGCCTGGCGCCAGGAGAAGGAGCTGGGGGCAAAGCAGCTTATCTGGGCACCTGCAAAACAGAGCAGAAGGGATCATGCACTCAAAAGATGAAAGAAAATAAATCAAACTTAGGAAAAGAAAAAGAAAAAAAAAGCTCATACTTGTGATTTTGCTGCATCCAAAGCTATTACATTGACAGTAGGAAGTATAGCAGCACTGAGAATCACTGAATTCCCACAGAACTGCATCCAGAACTCCCACTGGGACTCTCTAATGTCTCTTAAATGTTGAAACAGATGCTAGAAACATCCATCTTTTAGGACTACTTCCACAATTCTAGGGGAAGGACTGTTACCTCTCAGACCCCTCTTCCTCAGATTGGCCAAAGGAGAGCCAACAGATGAAAAGTGTGACCACATGAGGCTGGTTTCCCAAGGAAGCAGCTACCACAGCACACCATCTTAATCCCAAGTGCTCACCCCTCACATGTATTGAAAGAAGACCTCAAATATCATTCCCCCAGCCCTGCAGTCCATGCAGTAATGCAAAGGCAGGTGTGTCCCACACTTATTCTGCCTCTGAGCATGAGTTTTGACTTTGGGTTCATGTTAGCCCTGCCGTAACTCCTAGCAGAGCAGGAGTGGTCCCCAGGCTCTTCCAAGGGTCTCCAGGTTCATTCTCCCCAGCACAGGGCCAGGCACACCACAGCCATCTCTGCTCACTCCCAGCACTTCTCCAGCCTCTGGCACTTAAATGTAAGATTGAGGCACTAAGTGGCAGCCAGAACAGCCTCAGCCCTGGAGTCAAATTCTGCTCTGACCAGATTACAGGCAGCAGCTAAGTCTTCCTGAAATGTGTATCAAAGAGGAAAAGTGGTTATTTGATGTGGAGCATCAGTAGTCCCCTTAGGTGAGAGACAGTAACACAGGACAAGGGGTTTTGCTTTTCCTTTGGAAGCTGTGACAGCCACAGCAAAATGTAGAGTTTTCAGTGGACTTTCCTAGATGCTGAAACACAACAGCTGTTTCACCAAATGTTTACACAAAGTGGAGGTCACCCTTCCTTGAGGACCTCTATGCCAAGAACAGCCTCCGACACCTCCTCCAGCACAACACAAATGTCAAAAGAGCAAAAAAGGGAAATACTGCTACTTTTTTCCTTCCTTTTCTCAAAGTTATCGGTAGATGGCATCACTTTATGCTTTATGAGAGCATGTTTCTGTACAAGACTGTTGAACCTCTTTGCTAGTTTAGCCTCTAGAGAACAAGAACTGCTTCTGTAACAGAAGATGACTGCACTAGCCTTGTAACTTGTACAGCCTTTTCACAATGTAGCGCAGTTAAGGGGCATTATAAATGAAAGCTTTTCCCTATGACTCACTATTACAATTATTTCTGAGGCTGTAGTATCATAATGATGGGGTCTGATCTGTCACAAGCCTCCCTTATGGAAAACAAGTTGCTGTTTATCAGCCCAGAGCTCACGTGGCTTAACTAACTTGGCACAACACGAGCTCTTGCACTCTCCCAAAGCTTCAGAAGTTTCTGCTTTACAGAGAAATTCCCATTGCCTGTGGAAGAAATAACCTGCAGAGAAGGAAAAAAAAAAAAAAAAAAGGAGAAAAGAAGGATGCAATTGGAGTGTCTCTGTCCTTGATGGGTACCATTTATGATCTGCTTTCCCTAACAAACCCCCTGCTGCTGGCTGAGTGCAGCAGGAAACAAGTGGCCCTTTCACGGGGTGAGCAACAGAAGTGTTCAGCAAGATGCTTTGTCCTGTCTGTGTCTGGCATCTGCAAAAAGAACAACATGCAGGGTGTTCATTCTCATGAATGGGTGCAAAATCACTGAAAGTGAGAGAGCCCTTAAATCAGTGATTCACAAGGCAGCCTCCAAAGTGGTGCAGACACAACTTCCTCCCAGAACAGGCACAGCAATCCCAGGGCAGCAAGCTCAGCTCTTCAGATCCCCACACTTCAGTCCAGACTTAGGAGACCTTCAGACCTTCAGCCAGGAGTCCAGCAGGTCAGAAACAGACAGCAGCAGGAGATGGGGACTCTCCAGTTACCACCCCGCTGTTCAATTAACTTAGTGCAGTTCTGCTTGTAAATTCTTGTTAATATAAGTACATCTTTGCACTAATCATGGTGCAAAGAGATTACATCTTTGGGCATTATCTTCACCAAACACAGATTACTCAATGCATCTGAAAGTCAACATGATTTTACACCCCTTTTTCCCCTCCTTTTCCCCTCCAAAGGGGCACACAGGCACGCCTGTGTGACCTCAGCTGAAGAGCAGCAAATTGAGCTGTCACCTTGCCCAGCTCCACATAGCTTCATGTCCACCTTGCCAACAGCACCCAGTGTCTCCTCTGTGCCTGGGACTGGAAAACCCATTCTTTTTTTGCAGCTGGTGACTCTCCAACTCCCCTCCAGCACAGGACAGCCCACAGGTGGAGGTCCTGCCCTGGTGACATCGTTTCGTCTCTCAAAGAAAATCCCTGATTGAAAGGACAGAGTCCCAGTTCAGCAGGTGACTGCCTTGCTTGCAAGCAAGTGACACCCCAGGCTGTGCCTCATCCCTCACCAAGGCAGGTACCAGCAGGAAGCACTGGTTTTGTCCCCAGCAGCCCAACACCTCTCTTCCCACCAAGGCATCTAATTAAGAAACTAAAAGACATTGCTTCCAAGAATCAACATTAACCACACACTGAAGTGCTTTTCCTGAACTGAGGTCAGGTGATTTGTAGCTAAATAGATTAAACCTTCAGCGAGTAATTACTGCTTCCTACTGCACCGCAATCATTGGGAAGAGATTTGCATAGGCTCAAATGAAAACTCAGCCATTAATTACTACCATAATGTCAAACTGGGCAAAATGAACCAGCCATGATATTCAAATACCTGATTTTATCCAGCAAGAATTAGCGACACTGGCAGCCACAAACAGGAAAATCAAGCAACATGTACACAATGTACAGACTGCCAGGCACCATCCAACACACACTCTTCTCACCAATATTAAAAGACAACCTCACACTTAAAAATATAAAAAAAAAAGATGTCCCAATGTATGCCAAAGGAGAAGAAACTGGATGTGTGGGTTTGCATGCATGTATTAAGAGCAGACCAGAAAGAATGTGTTTATTAGATTTATAGATGCCTCCTATGGACCAAAGTGGCACACCAGGTGAAGGATACTCACTGTGTTCAAGAATCATAGAATCATAGAATCACCAAGGTTGGAAAAGACCTAAAAGATCACCCAGTCCAACCGTTCACCTATTCCCAATAGCTCCTACTAAACCATGTCCCTCAACACAACATCCAGCCTTTCCTTGAACACCTCCAGGCTCGGTGACTCCACCACCTCCCTGGGCAGTCCGTTCCAGTGCCTGACCACCCTTTCTGAAAAGTAATACTTCCTCATGTCCAGCCTGAATCTCCCCTGCCGTAGAAGAAGGAATTGTGGAGGGAGCTACAGCAGGAAAGGAACAACCTCAGTTTGCCAAGGCTGACTTTAGCAATGGGGAAGCAGAACATAAAGCCCAGGTGATGCCATATTCAAGCAGAGGAGCCACCAGGTGTCTGTCCCACTCCATGGGGCTGGGAGCTGTTCCTCAGGGAACTCTCAAAACCAGGCAGGGGGAAGAGAGCTAGGTGTTGACCAGGAAGGCCTTCAGAGTGACAGGTCTGTTTAATAACTGGGGGAAAAAAAACCCTTCCCAATGACATTCCCACCAATGAGACACAAAAAACATAAGAAGTTTCTCTTCACCCAAAGGAGAAACATCTCAGAGCTGATGCAATGAACCTTTGGCTCCACTGCTACTTCGCTGCTACCACAATCCTCTGGCAATGTCAGAGGGCCACAGCGCTTTAAAACAAGTTTTGGTCCCCAAAACAGCTTTCCATCAGTTCTGTAGGAAATGAAAGCCTAGCTCTGTAGAAGTTGAGCAGAAAAGATTCTCCTCATTGATAGATGAAGATGTTCACCCAAAGGCAATTTGGACTTGCCAGTGAAGCAACATTGCTGCAGGTTTGGGTTGGAAGCTCTTGGCACAGGCTTGTCCCTGACAGCAGGTACTTCTGATCTTCACTGAGGGCTCTTCATGTGCCATGGAGTAGCACGGCATGTGCTGCCATGGAAAAACAAATTGCTGGAACATCCAGGGTGACATGAGCCAGCAGTGTGCACTTACGGCCTGGAAGACCCACTGTATCCTGGGCTGCATCAACAGAGGCCAGCAGGGCAATGGAGGTGATCGTCCCTCTCTACTCTGCCTTTTTGGGACCCCATCTGGAGTACTCCGTTGGTCCCCAGCACAAGAAGGATGTGGAGCTCTTGGAGCAGGTCCAGAAGAGGCCACAAAGATGCTCAGAGGGCTGGAGCACCTTCCCTATGAAGAAAGGCTTGGAGAGTGGGTGCTTGTTCAGCCTGGAGAAGAGAAGGCTCCAGGGAGACCTCACTGCAGCCTTCTGGTACCTGAAGGGAGCCTACAAACAGGAGGGAGACCAACTTTTTGCGCAGTCTGATAGTGATGGAACAAGGGTAAATGACTTTAATCTAAAAGAGGCGAAACTTAGGTTAGCTGTTAAGGAGAAATTCTTCAGTCTGAAGGTGATTAAGTGGAAAGAGTTTGGGGAGGGTGAGAAGCACTGCTCCACAGTCAGTCCTCTCATGAACTCTCCCAGTTTCAACAAATAAAAGCACGAGGCACAGCCCGCATCCCAGCACGCAGCCTGCTTCAGCAGCCCTGGGGAATGTCCTCTGAGCTCCCAGCCAGCAGCTGCCACAGTCATAGTCTTTGGCCTAATGACACCCAATCTAACCTAGCTATCACAGAAGTCACAAGGTCAGATTGTTTCCCAAAACCCAACCCCATGATTTGTGAACGTGAAAGCAGACACACCAGCAGGAAGGGCCAGCAAGGGCCTAGCAGCAGAGGCAAGGAGTCCAGTCCAAAAGATAAGGCTAATCCCCTTCATACCCCCTGTTCTACTGTCCAAGGCATCCCAAAGTCTACATACAGCCTCCTAGCAGAGATGAGAACTAAAACAAACAAGGAAAAAAATATCCTCCCAGAAACTAGGTGGGATATGAGCAGCACACAGAAGTTTGTCACCAGTTGGAAAACCCAAGGCAATCACTGGGAGCATTAATCCCGTGGTATGCATGGCACAAGGTAGGGCCTCCCCACCTATGGGCACCTCCAACACAGCAAGGTGGGGGCAACCTGAGATCATTAGGGACAATAATACTCATTCAGTGCTACAAATTCTCATTTTGACAGACACATACCACTGCTGTGGGCTGGTCTATGGTCAGGCACTTCCCAACCTGTCACAACTGATAAGCTCATATTGCTACCCAAACCTTCATGTTGGTTATACCCAAGTTTAAGTGTCTTTTCTTAGCACATGATGGTTTCCTGGTCCTGGGAAGCTTTCCCAGGGGTTTGTTATGTCATATAATAAGCATAGATGTTATAAGGAGGATAAAGTCATGCTAGCAATACATGAGCCATACACAGAATCATAAAATCATTTGAGTTGGAAAGGACCTTTATTAAAGGCCATCGAGTCCAACCCCCCTGCAGTGGACAGGGACACCTACAGTTCGATCAGGTACTCAGAGTCCTGTCCAGTTGACCCTAAATGTCTTCAAGGATGGGGCATCCAACATTTCTCTGGGCAACTTGTTCCAGTGCCTCATCACACTTACCGTAAAAAACTTTTTTCTTATATCCAGTGTAAATCTCCCTCTTTTAGTTTGAAACCATTTCCCCTTGTCCTATCACAACAGACCCTGCTGAAGAGTCTATCCCCTTCTTTCTTACAGCTCCTCTTTAGATAATGAAAGGCTGCCCTCCAGTCTCCCCAGAACTTGCTTTTCTCCAGGCTGAACAGCTCCAGCTCTCTCTGCCTGTTTCAATTTCCTCTCTACCCAACATGCTTGGGGATTGTCTTGTTGTCCTGGAAAGGTCTGGATGTGCCACTTTCCTCCATGCAGTTCCACAAAGCCCTCTGTGCTCTGAGATGCAGCAGCTATCACAGCACTTGCTGTGAGGCAGAGGGCTCTGGAGACTTCTCTTTGCCCTTCTCCACACAGTGAGGCTGACAAAGCCCTAAGAAGTGGCACTGAAAGAGATTTCAACTGCCCATGTCTCAGTGACAGAGTAGTACCTGACTACCCGTAGCATATTCACCCTAAAAACTGCTGAATGCCATGGGAAACAATGTAAAGCAGTCATGTAAGTAACATATTCACATAACACTGCTCAAATCCTCACAACCCTACGATTATTTCCCAATTCCCAGTAGAAAACAATATCAAACACATACAGAGTGTAACTAAAAAGAAACTCAGGCAAGTTTTCCCCTTCCCTGCAGGATGCAGACAAACAGAGCAGGGGCCACGTGCCTACCGACCCGCAGAGCTCCCTGACGGAGCACAGTGGATGTTACCATGCCTCCTGCATAGAAATCCTTTGCAATACACAAACTGAATCTCATCTGCTATCTGAAATTTCTATCAAAATAAGAAGTTACTTGATAGCATCAGAAAACCTTTGTAAAGGTATTAATAATTTCTCATAACCAACAGCAAACACAGGTGGGATTAAAATTGCAGTTATAGGCCACTGTGCTGCAACTGAGCACCAAACAGCAGGAAGGCAACAGCTGAAGCTGCCAGGGTACTTTAGGTGGGAAGAATGTAATTATCACAATAGAAATAGGATCTGAGCACTTATTTTTGCAAAGTGCATGCAATTTTTGTATGCAGAAGAAGAGATATTTCCATGTTGTGACTCACACATTGCTTTCACAACCACTCCAGATTTGGGGTTGCCCTTTCTCAGACTCAAAACAGACCTACCATTTTCTCTCAGTTTAGCAGCCCTGAGTTAAAAAGCACAACTACATCAGGAAGCATTTGAAACAAATACTTACTTTCCATTTCAACACTGGCTCCACACCAGTGCCCACGGAAGTGCCAAGACCCAACGCATCCCTCAAAACACCTTAAAAAGAAAAGCTCCTGCCCGGCAGTCAGCGCAGCATGGAGCACAGGCAGCACGCAGAGCAACTATCACTTTCTGTATGGAAACCACGTGGGTAGCTTTGCTCACACCGGGGCCTGCCAGCACACGGTTGGTCTTTTCCTTTTTGAAACACAGGAACTGGCTTTCAAGCTTCAGGTTTTCTTCTGGGTTCTCAAGATCACAAGTAAAAAAAATAGAGATACATGGTGTATCCCTGGTGTGCAAAACACAGCACATACTTTAATTTGTGCTTTGTGAATCTGCTGTAGTCACAGAATCAATTTGAATCATTTTCATATTGAAAGGTACTGTATGCTGTATATGCCATGCACCAGGGTCCAAACATTCGGTTAGTGAAAATGAGACCTTTGCTCATCCAAAAGAAAGGAAACTTTCACCAAACTTAGCAATTCAGCTGCAGGTTGGAGCTTTGCATAGAGGAGGAAAGTAACTTTAAACTAAAAGAGGGGAGATTTAGGTTAGATGTTATGTATAAAGAATTTCTTCCTAGAATGGTGAGGCCCCGGCACAGCTGCCCAGAGAGCTGTGGTGCCCCATCCCTGGAGGTGCTCAAGGCCAGGTTGGATGAGCCCTGGGCATCCTGAGCTGATGGAGGCAACCAGCCCATGGCAGGGGTTGGGTGGGCTCTAAGTTCCCTTCCAACCCAAACCATTCTGTGTTTAATGATTCTCTGAAAAATGAAAGAAATACCACTGCAGGGCTCGGCAGAGACCTTGGTGGGCAGGCGTTGCTTCCAACTGAGCTGGGCACAGTGATTTCAGAGAGGAAAATGGAGGAAGAACAGACCCCCGCATGAGCTACTTTGTGCACCTGCACAGCCCCTAAATTGAAAGCCTTCCTTCTCGTTGCTTCAAGAAGACAAGTGCACTTGTCGTAGCTGATGTGAAATGAAAAGGTTCGCTTATAGAAACGCTTCCGCACCCTTTCAGTCTCTGACTGACCAAAGTACCACGGGACATGGTTGTCCTCAGCACTTCTGCTTGGTTGTTTCCAAGTTCTGGGTCAAAGCCACCTCCACTGAAACATGGCATTAGATGGTGGGGGCACCTTACCTATTATGCAGTTTGAGATCTGATTAGTGCCATACACGATGTTTTTCATAGAATCACGGAATCATTAAGGTTGGAAAAGACCACTAAGCTCACCACGTCCAACCCCAGCCCACGTCCCTCAGCGCCGCATCCCCACGGCTCTCGATCACCTCCAAGCACACTCCGCCCCGACCCCGAGCGGACCCCCGGTGCCGAGCCCCTCCCCAAACCCCGGCGCTCGCAGCGCTGCCCCCGCCCCGCCCAAGCCTTTGTGTGCCGCGGGGAGGGGGCGGCGGAGGGCGGTTACCGATGGAGACCTCCTGGGCGAAGGCGAGGGAGATGAGCAGCAGCGGCAGCCCAACGGCGATGCAGGTGACGATCTTGTCCAGCGCCAGCTCCAGCCGCAGCCCTTTGTAACGCGTCTCGGGCGGCTCCTTCAGCAAGAAGTCCGAGAAGACGTACTCGGTGGCGATGTGTGCGATGGCCATGGCGGGCTCGGCTCGGCACGGCACGACACGGCACGGCGCGCTCGGCACTGCTCGGCGCGGTGCGGCTCCGCCCGGCTCGGCGCAACTCCGCCCAGCAGCGCCCACAGCGCCCGGCCCTGCGCCGCCCCCTCGTGGCTGCTGCCCGCCGTGCTGCTGGCGTGGGCTCGTTGAGTTACGGGCCGAGCCCTGCAGCGCTTGTCGTATCGCTGGGCACCGCTGGAGCCTGACTTCTAATTCGTACAGCCCGGTCAGGCGTTTGTACGCACTGATATCGAGCACTGTGTGACACAACATAAGGAGGACGTAAAACCATGAAAGGGTGTCCAAAGGACAGCTGCAAGGATGGGGAAGGGTCTGAGGGTGAGACCTATGAGGGGCGGCTGAGCTCAGCCCAGAGCAGAGCAGGCTGAGGGGAAGCCTGATGGCAGCTGCAGCTCCTCACAGGGAGTGGAGGCAGCACTGAGCTCTGCTCTGTGTGACAGCGACAGGGAACGGCATGGAGCTGTGACAGGGGAGGACAGCCGGGGGTGAGAGAGGGTCTGCACCACAGGCCGATGGGCGTGGAACAGCCTGCCCAGGGCTGTGGGCACAGCCCCGAGCTGCTGGAGCTCAGGAGGCGTTTGGACAGTGCTCTCAGACATTCGTTTGGGTTTTGGGTAGTGCTGTGTGGAGTCGGGAGTTGGACTAACGATCCTCATGGGTCCCTTCCAACTTAGGCTGTTCTGTGATTCCATAAGATCCCCCACAGTTGCTTCCCTTCTCCAGCTATCAGCTTCTCCTTGGCCAAGAGATGCTCCAAGCCATGCACAGTAGTGTTTCCTCCAGCCAAAGTGTTTCATCTCCACTGCCACATCTCAAGTTGTTTTTGCAGGACTCATTTCCAATAACCTTCAGCTGGCTTTGCCCCCTCCTTTAGATTTTTTACCTTTTTTATTTCTGTTAGCCCGAGTTCCAACAGCCCTCAGTCCAGGGGTTACAGAGGTGATCATCCACCTCCTCAGCTATGGCTTTCTGTACTGCTTCTGCCCAAAGACACGGCCCGTTCCCTTCTCTTCCCAGCTCTCTCTTTGCAAAACCTGTGCTATCTGCTTTCAATTGTTCTTTCTATTTTTTCCAAGCCCTGATCCAACAAAATCATTCCTCACACAGAAATAGTTCTGCAACTCCAATTCCCTTTCTTGTTCTTTCTGGGTCGTTGTTTGATGGCATCCTTCCCTGGATGGGGCCAGTGCTGTGACTCATGCTGTATTCAGGATGCAGGTGCCCCAGACGTCTGTGTCACAGTGCCATGATGCTTTCTGGCTTGTTCTGTCCTTAATTCCTAACAGTCTCTGATATCCACTTGCCTTTCTGCCCAGCTAACTTTGTCTTTGAACTATCATAGCTAAGGTTCCATTTTTGAGATGCATAGACAGTGTGGTGCTTATAGAGCTGGGACTGCTTTTTTTCAGCTACCATTAGCTTATGAGAAGGTTTTTATCACTCCGAACCACTGTGTACTTTTGCAGGTTTTTACACTCAGCATCATTTTTCTTGCTGCATGCACTTGTATCTGTCACTTAACTCAGGCACCCTTTTTCTTTGCCCAGAGAGCTGTGGTGCCCCATTCCTGGAAGTGCTCAAGGCCAGGTTGGATGGGGCCTGGGCAGCCTAAGCTGATGGAGGCAATCAGCCCATGGCAAGGGTTGGAACTGGCTTTAAGGTCTTTTTCAACCCAAACCATTCTGTGATTCTATGATTTTTTTCACATCACTTGCAGAAAGCAGTGAAGCGCAGAGGTCCTTGTATCCCATGGGTGATTTCCACCTTGCTGTCTGTCCACTTATCCCTGTCTTTTAACCAGTTAGCCTTCAAGGGCCTTTCCTCTCACCCTACAGTGACTTTGTTTCTTTGAGAAACTTTAGCTAACTTTGACTTCCCAGATGTTTTATGGAGATGTAAGCAGGCTATTGTTCAAAACCATCAATAAGGCACAATTTCCTTTGAGGGAAAAAAAAAAGAAAATGAAGGTTTATTCTGCCATCATCTGTTTGGCTCTTTTGATCACTTTTTCCATCGTTTTGGAATAGTAACTGCCAGCTTCAGTGTGGGTCTCAGGGCTGCTCACAAAGCCTGGTCCACACTGACCTTGAATGCATGCAGGGTTGGGGCATCTACCACCTCTGCAACTTGTGCCAGTGCTACACATCACTTAATGTAAAAAATGTTTTCCTTACAACCAGTCTGAATCTCCCCTCTTTCAGTTGGAAAACGTTTCCCCTTGTCCTGTCACAACAGACCTGCTGAAGAGCCTGTGCCCTTCTTTCTTACAGCCCCTTTAGATACTGACAGGCCACTCTCAGGTTTCCCCGCAGCCTTCTCTTCTCAAAGCTGAACAGCCACAGCTCTCAGCCTGTCTTTGTAGAAAAGATGTTCCATCCCTTGGACCCTCCTCTGGACGCGCTCCAACAGCTCCACGTCTCTGCTATATTGAGGACTCCACATCTGGACTCAGTGCTCCAGGTGAGGCCTCACAGCACAGAGCAGAGGGGCAGGATCACCTCCCTCGCCCTGCTGGCTGTGCTGCGCTGGCTGCAGCCCAGGACACGGTTGGCTCTCTGGGCTGCGAAGGCACATTGCTGAGGTTGTTGTGACCCACTTGCAGATCGTGCACTTGGCTCTGTCAAACCTCATAAGGTTCAATGCGGCCACTGTTCGAGCCTGTCTAGGTCTCTCTGGATGGCATCCTGTCCATTGGGCACGTTGACTGCACTGCATTTGCTTGATTTGCTCTGCATTCCTGCTGGTGCTTAAGCCCATCACAGATGCTCCCCTTCATTGAAGATACTTTCCACAACTCCTCAATGCAGGGTATGCCTCTTCCTGCATGAGGCAGGCAGGTAAGGCTAAATGCTGTGCTTTATGCTCTCTGTGATGCCTTCTGGTCTCTGTGACAGCCTCTGTCACCCGGGCAAACTGTGATGATGTCCGAAGGCCTCGAGGGCCTCTGGAGGCTTCATTCTTGATTCCCAGCCACCATTCAGCGGAGAAGTGTGCCAAGTGAAACAAGCTGTGCCAGAAGGTTTGTACAAATAACCAGATCTTTATTAGCCTTGTCATCATTTTGGCTGGCTACTATGGAAAAAAATATATTTATGATTCTTTTTCTAAAATGTCAGACCCGTTAGCTACTCTGAAAGGAAAAGTATCAAATAATTTCCTTTATTAACTGTGAATGTTTAAGTGGAAGGCTTTAATTTTTGTATGTAGATAGAGAGCAAATGTTCTATGCAGTGCTTTTGGACAGAAACATCTCAATCAATGTTTACAAAATAGAAAGATAACAGGGTATGGGGGTATCTATTTTTATCAGCTCAAGGGATTTAGAAAATGAGTGTGGAAGTGTTTATTGCTATAGCATAGCTCCTGTGTGGGCTCACAGGAGCAGTTCTACCTCATGTGCATGCTCTTAAATAACTGGAGAAAACAAGGAATCAAGAATCAACTGATAAGCAGGAAAAACTTCTTCATCTCAAATACCTGGGCATCGACCCAGGACATCACTAGGCTGCAGTGGGAGGGATGGGCAGCAAAATTCCCTGCATTTGAATGAACTTCAAAATACAGAACGGGGGAAAAAAAAATAGAAAAGAACAGCAAAGTGGATTTACATTCAAAATCAGCTTTGGATCAACAGTTTCACAGATGTGTTTGTTCTGAAGTTCCTCTGCAAGAGCTGTAGCTGATGTGAGCAGCTGGCTGGCAAGAGTGAGTGCTATGTAATTAGACATGAGTTATAAACATTCAAGTAGTATTAAACATGGCCTGATTCTGCCTGTCTTTTCTGCAAAGCACAGATATCAGCATCCCAATTAAAGTTTGGGAATGAAGCACTGCTGAATGCAGAGAAGAGTTACAGAATCAGGACCACAATGAGCAGCAATCACTAAGTATAACTTCATTGGGGCTGCTCAGGGCTAGATTTTTAAAGGGATTAACAAATCTGTTGCAGATGCTGAGCTTCATCAGGTGATAAAGTATATTGGCAGGTACTTAAATGCCTTTAAAAATCTGTCCCCAGTGCACAGCTTCCTCATTTAACAGGACAAAGGGAACAAAAAAAAAAGGGAAAATCAGTTAAATGCTGATGAATTCATTGATGCAGACTCTGGTGTAAGACTGGCTTCCCTTTGGGAAACCTCAGGGACTTGCAAACTTACACCTGTGTCTTCAGGAGCTGGATGCTAAAGCAGCGTGCGCCCCGTGGTTCTGCACAGAGCACATGGGTGCAATGCTGCCTGCTCCATCCTCCCATGGGAACGTTGGCCAAGAGGTGCGGTGCCTCGGGCACAGCTGGGTGGTGGTGGGGGTGGGGATGGCAATGGGTGATACGTGGCCCTTTCCTGCAGTTCTCAGGAGTGCTGGCAATGGGATGGGACTTCCAGAGTGTGTCTTGTTCTAGTTGTAGCAGCAGCACTTTGTGAAACCCGGCACGGCTCTGTGGATGGTGCTGAAAGTGGGGATTTACAGGGAATCTGCTAGAAGTGCACTTTTGTCATTCAGAGCCTGATATTGGATCCTGCTTCCTTGGTGGGTGATGAGGGAGAGGAAGGCCAATGTGGTCAACAGCAGAATGAGTCCGACGGAAACAAAGGCTGCCAGCATCAGGCTGGCTTCCCCAGGAGTCAGAGTTTTGCCAAAGATGTTGGCCCCTTGGCTGTCAGGATCTGTGCAAAGAGAAGTGCTTTGTGAGGAATCCACATGAACATGGAAAGTTTGAAATGATGTTGGAAAAAATCCATACCCTTTGTGGTGGTCCTATTTTGTGCAATAGTTGTACCATAAGCTGCGGTCGTCAGTCCTTCTTCTGAAGGGGCTTCCAGCTCTGTGCAGAGAGAGAAAAAATGCAGTGGAGTTGAAAACCTTGAAAAACAGTGGAAAAGTAGCACTGGTTTTCCCAGGTTCCTTCTACCTTCGTAATCAAACAGAAATCCTGATTACATCAGCACAATGATAAATACATTGCTCCAGGCCGCTC